TCTATGAATCTATCCTCCGTGAACTTATCTAGCTCTTTTTTGAACCCTGTTATAGTTTTGGCCTTCACAACATCCTCCGACAAAGAGTTCCACAGGTTGACTGCGTGTTGTGTGAAGAAATACTTGCTTTTGTTTGTTTTAAACCTGTTGCCTATTGATTTCATTTGGTGACCCCTAGTTCTTGTGTGATGTGGAGTAAATTTACTTTCTCCATACCAGTCATGATTCTGTAGACCTCAATCATATCCCCCCTTAGTCATCTCTTTTCCAAGATGAAAAGTCCCAGTCTTATTAATCTCTCCTCATACGGAAGCTGTTCCAGACCCCTAATCATTTTTGTTGCCCTTTTCTGAACCTTTTCCAATTCCAATTCCAATTCCTCCCTTCCATGTGACAGCCCTTCTCAAGGGTCCACTCTCTCTCGGGGGTTAGGCCCTTTGGCCCCATCGCCTCTGGGACCGCACCTCTGAGCCTTAGCACGTCTGTCTCTCTCCATGAGCCCCCTCAGGGGGTCCCCTCATCTGGATCCCCAGGGCCTCCACCCCCAGAGGGAGCAATGCCCCCCCCCCAATCTCTAGCCTGCAATGACTCAGCCAGACTAACACGGGAGGTTTATTGAACGTCTGAACCCAGCACAGGAAGATCTCAGGGCTCTCGAGCATAGAAAGCCCTCACTGTCCATCTGGTTCTGTCCCAGTTCAGATGGGCTCAGATCCCTCTTTGTCCCCTGTGTCCAGCCATGACCGATTGTCAGATATCACCTTCCCCAATAGCCCCTGCTCTGCCCTTTGTCTTTGTTCCTGGGCAAACAGATCGCCTGGGCCCTCTCTCTTCCCTCCTTTGTCCTCCCACGGGCCAGAGCCGGCTGGCTCCCAAGCTGGGCTGGGCCTCCAGGTCACTGGTTGCTAAGTTCCACTGAGTCCAGGCCATTGTCCAGGGTCCCAGCTGCTAGGCGAGGTCACACCTGGCCCTCTGCAACCACAAGCCCCTTTCCCACCCCCTCGTTACACATGCACACACTGTATTCATGCAAAACACTAAGAAAATCCCCCCTTCGTCACGGTGCCCAGCTCCTAGCCATGTCCGGGGCAGAGCCGGCGGGAGGCCTGTTGGGGGCCCTGCACCCCGGCCGTGGTGCCAGAGATGGTTCCGCCAGGCCTGGGCTGAGGTGGCAGGTGCCTCTGTCCTTGGTGTGGAACCAAGAGCCGCAGGGGATCCCTCCTGCGCTAGCCCCTCCCCAAATTCACAGTCCATTCTGGTTAATTTCATGGTCACAGGATTTAAAAAATAGTAAATGTCATGATTTCAGCTATTTAAATCTGAAATTTCACGGTCTTGTAATTGTTGGGGTTGTGACCCAAAAAGGAGTTGGGGGGGGAATCGACAATGTTATTATAGGGGGGCTTGCAGACTGCTACCCTTACTTCTGCGCTGCTGCTGGTGACGGCGCTGCCTTCAGAGCTGGGGAGCCGGAGAGCAGCGGCTGCTGGCTGGGAGCCCAGCTCTGAAGGCAGAACTGCCACCAGAAGCAGTGCAGAATTTAGGGTGGCCTGGTAGGGCATTGCCACCCTTACTTCTGTGCCGCTGCTTGTGGGGTGCTGCCTTCAGAGCTGGGCACCTGGCCAACAGCCACCGCTCTCCAGCCCCCAGCTCTGAAGGCAGCACAGAAGTAACGGTGGCAATACCGCAACCACCCTCAAATAACCTTGTGATCCCCTCTCGTTGCTCCCTTAAGGGTCAGGACCCCCAATTTGATAAACGCTGGTCTCCCCCATGAAATCTGTATGGTACAGGGTAAAAGCACACACAACACCAGATTTCACAGGGGAAGACCAGATTTCAGGGTCCATGACACGTTTCTCATGGCTGTGAATTCGGTAGGGCCCTACTGATCAGCATTGACAGGCCCAGAGACAGGGCAGCGCCCGCAGCGCCGGGGCCCATTGCAGCAGCGCAGACGTTTGTAGCTGCTCAGGAGGTGGGTTTCAGCGGCAGTGCTAGTATGGCGGGCGGGTTAGAGGCAGAGAAGGCGCTTGGCTGCCCCTCCCCTGGGCAGAGGCACAGCTGGGCCGAAGGGGATGGCCCACGCCCAGGCTGCGCCTCCCTGCAGGTACTGAGAAACGACGTCATGTCCCACGCCCGGACGGTCCAGTCTGTGAACGAGGTCGGCCAGGGGCTGCTGCTCTCCAGCCTTGGGGACAGCACGGACGCGCTACAGTGCAGCCTGCAGCAGCTCAACCAGCGCTGGGACTTTGTGCGGAGTGAGACCGAGAGCCGCCAGCTGGAGCTGGAGAACAACCTCAGCCAGGTACGTGGAGCCCCCGCCCCCTGCAACGACGCTGCCCGGGACACAGGGACTCACCAGGCCCACGGCTCAGCCACAGACAAGACATGCCGGGGGAGCTCCACGCGGCCGTGTCCGCTGGAGGGTAGGGATAGGATACAGAGGGACCTAGACAAATTACAGGATTAGAACCAAAAGAAATACCGATAGAGGTTACAACAAAGGACAAGTGCAGAGTCCTGCACTTAGGACGGAAGATT